ACACATTAGACATTCTTTCGTGTTTATTATCATATTCATGGGAACGTGCTACACCCACATGAGTCATTCAGGGTATGGGGAAGGGGAAGTAATCAGGCTCGATCAAAGGAAGAGGAAGGTAACCCTATGTCCTTAGGTCAAGTTTTTTAACGGTATCAAGGCACTTCTACCTTGAGAGGAGTGAAGCAGTAGCGGTTCATGGCTGGGCAGCTCGAGGTTCGCATGTTATAGACAGCTTCGAACAGTGGAGTCAGTGAGTTAGGGTTGAGATATATAGCATATTGGATGTATGGTGAGGCTCGGTCACCTGCTGCAACCCATTATGAAAGGCGTTTTTTGGGCTCTCTGCGAGTGCCTAATTTGGTATAGTGCCACGCAAGTGACTTATGGGGCACCCATATTCAGAGGTGAGATAATGGGGACGATTTTGGGAAGTAGCACCCCTCAAGGAAGGTTCCTTGATGTTGGTGAGGGGCTCTTGATTTAGGGAATTGGATCTATGCTCCAGTTCCCCAAATTAAGCCTGAATGCCTTCCACATACCCCCCCAGGCGCTGTATAATCCTCCGGGTTTAGCGCTTCCCCCTTGATTGTAATAATAATAATAATGGGAAGTAGCACATGTAGGATAACTTAATAAAGTGCCCCTCATATCCTTATTTAGTTCTCATGGATTAATTTCAAAGGAAAGGCGCCTTGATGCTGGTGAAAAGCACATGATCAAAGGCATTGGAGCTACTCTTCCCTTACTAGGACTAAACTTGATTACCTTGCATTATCCATGAGTACAATAATCAAAGTGCTGCATTTGTTTGTTTATTTATTAATTTGAACATGATACATAGAAGTACAAGGAAATGCAGTGGTTAAGTGCAACATGCCAAAGCCCCTTGTATGCAGAGCATTATGGGCAGGCTTAAAATTAACTTAAGACTAACTAAGCAATGATATATTCAGTGGTAAACATTATTGTAAACAAATAATTAAGCACAAATGAGTATTTCAAAGACAGGTGATATTGTCAATTACTATGTTGCTGTGCATTCAGTAGAATGGAGTATTCTGTTAGGTAATGTAATTAAAAATAAAGTTTGATTAAGTCACAGGTTAAACATTTATGAGATACAATTATTCAGTATTTATTTAGTTGTGGGTAAGTAAGTGATTTTTAAGAAGAGACTTGAATTTATAAACAGACAGTGTTTCTTTTATATTCACAGGTAATGAATTCCAGATTTTTGGGCCTTTTATGTACATTGAGTTTTTGCATAGTGTGAGATGGACACTAGGAACATCAAAGAGTGATCTGTGCCTTGTGTTATGGTCATGATCTCATAGGTTTTGTGATTCCCCACGAATATATTAGCAATAATACTGTAATGTTTTTATGGGTTGCTGTTGACATCACTATTGTTACCGTAAATTTTATTTTTATTAATTTATTATAGATTCAGTATCATATACAGTCGATTCATTTACTGTAGATTCTGCATAATTTAAGGTAAATTTTGTATCATTTAACATAAATATGTCATATTTACTGTTAATTTTGTGCCATCTTGTAGGCATTACATTTTTATATAATTTAAAATTTTAATATCATAGCATTACTAATATGTAGTTTTTTTTTAAAAGAGTTGAATGGTAAATATAGGTGCTTTTAAACACTGCACCAAGACTTCTCTTCATGATCATGAATAGTGAGGTTAAGTAATTTTATTTAAACACAGGTACACAGAAGTACAATTATCATACATAATGTATATTACTTAGGAGGTTAGGTTAGGCAAGGTAATATTTCCTTCATAATAGGACAGCCAGGCAAGTAACAGTTAACAAAGCTATTCAGTCGATTGTGACCACTAATTATAGTTTGACGTAAATTATTAAGCTGGTTTTGCACTTGATAGTATTTTGTCATACAAATGGCAAATATAGTATTACCAAACCTTATAGCTTAACCTTACCTTTGCCATTGGTCCTGGCTTGTCTTTGTTTGCATTAGGCCAGAGCGTGACACTACTCGATAATAAGCATTGACTGACAGGGTTGCTGTGCAACTAATAATAAAAACTGATAAATACTGTACTGCTTTGTTGATATTTGCCAAAATAACAATTTGTACAAGAAATGCTTATTCCATAATGTCAGCACTGTAAGACGCTGATAGATTAGCCCTTAGTTTTTTATTATAATAATAATCTTTCATGTTGTAAGATAAGCTAAGATTTTGTTCGGATTTTTAACCCTAGAGAGTTAGCCACCCAGGATAACCCAATAAAGGCAGTGTGTCATCGAGCGACTGTATGTCTTATTTCCTTTGGGGTCCTTCAGTGTTGTCCCCCAGGATGCAACCCACACCAGTTGACTAACACCTGGGTACCTACTTGCTTCCTAGGTGAACAGGGACAGCAGGTTTGAGGAAACACACCCAATGTTTCCACTCAGCTGGGGATTGAACCGTGGACACTCAATGTGTGAGTCGAGAGCGTTTCCTACCAGGCCACGGGACACCATTTACACACTACGAGCTTTTTAACATGAGTTATTATCATATGCTTTCTAAGATCAACTGCTGAATATTTTATGGTGAACATATACACTAAAATTAAGAGCATAGCCTGTAAGTTTCTTTACTTCTACTGATATCAGGCACTTTTTTCACTTTAATACCATATTCCTTGCACACCCATGCCACTGAGATGCCAGACTCAACCTTCATTATTAGTTCATTTCTGCTTAAAACTGAGAGCCACACATTTCCTCTTGGGACCATCACTTGCTTTAGAAGCTGTTAATTGCACTTTACTTAATATGTTAATAAAGTCACAAAAAAACTATAAATTCAGGGAAAATTGGAGACTTATTTTGTGAGATTGTATTCCTTATTGTCCTGTGTACAACAACTATTAATATAGTTGTACAGTGGAACCCCAGATTTTGTACTTAATCCATTCCAGGTCATTCTAAATCCAGTTAATCCATACCAGACACCCCAAAAATATTCACAAAAAATTAATTTTTTAAAGAATATAGTTTTACATACAGAAAACAATGAGAAATATAAAGCACTAATTTTAATGATAAATGAACATTACATACCTTCATTGAAGACTTGTTGGCGTATTGAAGAAGGCGAGGAGGGGAAGAGAGAGTTGAGGTTATTGTTTGGAAGGGGAATCCCCCTCCATAAGGACTTCACGTATCAAAGCCCTCTCTGGGGTTACTTCCCTTCTTTTTCTTTTACTGGCACTGGACCCCTGTCGCACTAAAAATCTGTCCAGAGAGCTCTGTTTCTGGCGTCTCTAAGATGTGCCTAAAATGGGACAAGGTATTGTCACTGAACGTGTTGCAGATATAGCTTATATCGGCTTGGCCAGGGTGATATTTTTCAACAAAAGTTTGAACCTCGTTCCACTTTGTTTGGTAATCACTGTAGAAGGCACTTTCTCCCCTCACTCTTCCTCCTCCTCCTCTGAAGCAATTTCCTCAGCTGTGGACTATTGCTGTTCCAGATGAAGGTCTTGCAGCTCTTCAGTGGTTAGCTCTTCCCTGTGGTCCTCCACCAACTCTTCCACATCCTGGCCATTCACATCCAACCCCACAGACTTCCCCAAAGACACTATATTCCACAACAGGCATAGGGTCGACAGGGCCAGCCCCAAATCCTTCAAAATCTTTGTCGAGGACACATTCTGGCCATGATTTTCTTCAAGCAGAGTTCAAAGTCCTGGAAGTCACTTCTTGCCAAGCCTTACCTATAAGGCTTATGCAATGGAGGATATTGAGGTGATCCCTCCTGAACTTTCTTAGGGTCAATTCAGTGTCTGAGGTCACTTCAAAGCACCTTTGAAACATTGCTTTGGTGTAGAGTTTTTTGAAGTTAGAAATGATCTGATGGTCCATGGGCTGGATGAGAGGAGTGGTATTAGGAGGCAAGAACTTCACTGTTATAAAACTGAAGTCCCTAAACAATTGGTCTTCCAAGTTTGGAGGATGAGCAGGAGCACTGTCCAATACCAGGAGGCAGTTGAGTGGCAATTTATTTTCCAGGAGATATTTTTTCACACTTGGGTCAAACACTTCATGGACCCAGTCAATGAAAATTTGCCTCGTGATCCATGCCTTATTATTAGCTTTCCATGCATACACAATTTACTTTTGACAACATTGTTTTTCTTGAACGCACTGGGATTTTCAAAGGCTTCACTTTGAAATCCCCACTAGCATTACCACAGAACTAGAGTTAACCTATCCTTCATAGGCTTGTGTTCTGGCAGTACCTTTTCCTCCTGCATGATGTAGGCCCTCATCACAGTTGAACACTTGTTAAGAGAGGAATCCTTCAACTGCTATGTACTCCTTGAATTCCTCAATGAATTCTTCGGCCACAGGCTTGTCTGAACTTGCAGCCTCACCATGCCTTACAACACTGTGTATGCCACTATGCTTCATGAATCTGTCGAACCAGCCTCTGTTGTCCTTAAATTCACTAACAGCAGCACTCATTCCAAGCATTTTCTTTACGAGATCCGCATGCAACTGCCTTGCCTTTTCCCAGATGACTGGCTCCACAACACTATCTTCTGCTAACTGTTTTTGGTTGATCCACACCAACAACAACTCCACATCTTTGACTGTTTGTGATCTCTGCTTCGTTAGCAAATTTACCCCTTTAGCAACTTTACATTCCTTGATTTTTACTTTTTTTTTGCCAGGATGGAACAGATTGTTGATTTTGACTTCCCGTACATCCTGGCAAGCTCGGCTAAACGTACTCCACTTTCATATTTTTCTACAATCTCTTTCTTGAATTCTATCATGTTTCTCACTTTCTTTACAAACGTGCTGGCACTAGGAACTTTCTTTGGGCCCATGGTGGCTTATTTCGCAGTCACAATCAATAAACAAGCATAAAAATTGTGAAATGTTTCGGGTGAATGCTCACTCAACCAGTGACAAAGCCAGACTGACGGTATTCCTGGGCGGGCAGACGTGTTTGATACGTACAATTCCTGGGACGAGGTACGAAATCCGGAGCAAAATTTTGCCCAAAAAAGTGTTCCATATCCGAAACGTCTGATATCCGGTACGTGCGAAATCTGGGGTTCCACTGTAATTGTAAAATATGAAATGACCAGTATTTCTTTCTAGTGATATAGCAATGCTCAGTGGGTATAACAAAGACCCATTGTGATCACTGTAATCCTGTTTTTTTTTGTGTTACAGTTCACAGGATGAGCATGGAGTGCACAATAAACTGGATGCTCAGGCTGCACAACTAAAAACTGTATGGTGCGTGCGTGCTTGTGCACGTCCTTGTGTGAATGTGTGTGTGCATGCATGCGTGTACTCGCAACTCCTGGCTCCCCCTCTTCACTGAGTGCTACTAGGTCCTCTCTCTACCTGCTCCATGAGCTTTATCATACCTCATCTTAAAGCAGCTATGTATGGTTCCTGCCTCCACTACCTCACTTGCTAGGCTATTCCACTTCCTGACTACTCTGACTGAAGAAATAGTACTTCCTAACATCCCTTTGACTCATCTGTGTCTTCAACTTCCAATTGTGACCCCTTGTTTCTGTGTCCCCTCTCTGGAACAACCTGTCTCTGTCCACCTTGTCTATTCCATGTAGTATTTTGTATGTCGTTATGTCTCCCCTAACCCTCCTGTCCTCCAGTGTCGTCATGCCGATTTCCCTTAACCTTTCTTAGTAGGACATTCCCCTTAGCTCTGGAACTAACCTTGTCGCAAACCTTTGCACTTTCTCTAATTTCTTGATGTGCTTGATCAAGTGTGGGTTCCAAACAGGTGCTGCATACTCCAGTATGGGCCTGATGTACATGGTGTACAGTGTCTTGAACGAATCCTTACTAAGGTATCTGAACGCTATTCTCAGGTTTGCCAGGCACCCATATGCTGCAGCAGTTACCTGGTTGATGTGTGCTTCCGGAGATGTGTTTGGAATTATACTCGCCCCAAGATCTTTCTCCTTGAGTAAGGTTGCAGTCATTGGCCACCTAGCCTATACTCTGTCTGCAGTCTTCTTTGCCCTTCCCTGACCTTTGTGACTTTGCATTTGGCTGGAGTTGCTGGACCACATGTCCAGCTTGTCCAGGTCTCTTCGGAGTCCTGCCTGATCCTCATCTGATTTAATTCTTCTCATTAACTTCACATCGCCTGCAAACAAGGACACCTGAGTCTATCCCTTCTGTCATGTCATGTGTGTGTGTGTACTCGCCTAGTTGTACTCACCTAGTTGAGGTTGTAGGGGTTGAATCTTAGCTCCTGGCCCCGCCTCTTCACTGGTCGCTACAAGGTCACTCTCCCTGAACCGTCAGCTTTATCATACCTCTGCTTAAAGCTATGTATGGATCCTACCTCCACTACATCGCTTCCCAAACTATTCCACTTCCTGACTACTCTGTGGCTGAAGAAATAGTTCCTAACATCCCTGTGATTCATCTGTGTCTTCAACTTCCAACTGTGTCCCCTTGTTGCTGTGTCCCATCTCTGGAACATCCTGTCTTTGTCCACCTTGTCAATTCCTCTCAGTATTTTGTATGTCGTTATCATGTTCCCCCTATCTCTCCTGTCCTCCAGTGTCGTCAGGTCGATTTCCCTTAACCTCTCCTCATAGGACATACCTCTTAGCTCTGGGACTAGTCTTGTTGCAAACCTTTGCACTTTCTCTAGTTTGTTTATGTGCTTGGCTAGGTGTGGGTTCCAAACTGGTGCTGCATACTCCAATATGGGCCTAACGTACACAGTGTACAGGGTCCTGAACGATTCCTTATTAAGATGTCGGAATGCTGTTCTGAGGTTTGCTAGGTGCCCATATGCTGCAGCAGTTATTTGGTTGATGTGCGCTTCAGGATATGTGCCTGGTGTTATACTCATCCCAAGATCTTTTTCCTTGAGTGAGGTTTGTAGTCTCTGGCCCCCTACACTGTACTCCATCTGCGGTCTTCTTTGCCCTTCCCCAATCTTCATGACTGCACTTGGTGAGGTTGAACTCCAGGAGCCAATTGCTGGACCAGGTCTGCAGCCTGTCCAGATCCCTTTGTAGTTCTGCCTGGTCTTCAGTTGAATGAATTCTTCTCATCAACTTCACATCATCTGCAAACAGGGACACTTCGGAGTCTATTCCTTCCGTCATGTCGTTCACAAATACCAGAAACAGCACTGGTCCTAGGACTGACCCCTGTGGGACCCCGCTGGTCACAGGCGCCCACTCTGACACCTCGCCACGTACCGTGACTCGCTACTGTCTTCCTGACAAGTATTCCCTGATCCATTGTAGTGCCTTCCCTGTTATCCCTGCTTGGTCCTCCAGTTTTTGCACTAATATCTTGTGTGGAACTGTCAAACGCTGCCTTGCAGTCCAAGAAAATGCAATCCACCCACCCCTCTCTCTCATGTCTTGCTGCTGTCACCATGTCATAGAACTCCAGTAGGTTTGTGACACAGGATTTCCCATCCCTGAAACCATGTTGGGTGCTCTTGATGAGATCATTCCTTTCTAGGTGTTCCACCACTCTTCTGATAATCTTCTCCATGATTTTGCATACTATACATGTCAGTGACACTGGTCTATAGTTTAGTGCTTCATGTCTCTCTCCTTTTTTAAAGATTGGGACTACATTTGCTGTCTTCCATGCCTCAGGCAATCTCCCTGTTTTGATGTATTGAATATTGTTGTTAGGGGTACACATAGCGCCAGTGCTCCCTCTCTCAGGACCCATGGAGAGATGTTATCCGGCCCCATTGCCTTTGAGGTATCTAGCTCACTCAGAAGCCTCTTCACTTCTTCCTTGGTTGTGTGTACTGTGTCCAGCACTTGGTGGTGTACCCCACCTCTCCGTCTTTCTGGAGCCCCTTCTGTCTCCTCTGTGAACACTTCTTTGAATCTCTTGTTGAGTTCCTCACGTACTTCACGGTCATTTCTTGTTGTCTCTCTTCCTTCCTTCCTTAGCCTGATTACTTTGTCCTTGACTGTTGTTTTCCTCCTGATGTGGCTGTATAACAGCTTCGGGTCAGATTTGGCTTTCGCTACTATGTCATTTTCGTATTGTCGTTGAGCCTCCTTTCTTATCTGTGCATATTCATTTCTGGCTCTACGACTTCTCTCCTTATTCTCCTGGGTCCCTTGCCTTCTATATTTTTTCCATTCCCTAGCACACTTGGTTTTTGCCTCCCTGCACCTTTGGGTGAACCATGGGCTCATCCTGGCTTTTTCATTATTCCTGTTACCCTTGGGTACAAACCTCTCCTCAGCCTCCTTGCACATTGTTGTTACATATTCCATCATCTCATTAACTGGCTTCCCTGCCAGTTCTCTGTTCCACTGAACCCCGTTCAGGAAGTTCCTCATTCCTGTTTAGTCCCCTTTCTTGTAGTTTGGCTTCATTCACCCTGACCTTCCTGCTTCCTCCTCTACTTGTAGCTCTACTGTGTATTCGAAGCTTAAAACCACATGATTGCTGGCCCCAAGGGGTCTTTCATATGTGATGTCCTCAATATCTGCACTGCTCAAGGTGAATACTAGGTCCAGTCTTGCTGGTTCATCCTCTCCACTCTCTCTTGTAGTGTCCCTTACATGTTGGGACATGAAGTTTTCCAGTACCACCTCCATCATCTTAGCCCTCCATGTGTCTTGGCCCCCATGTCGCTCCAAGTTCTCCCAATCGATTTCCTTGTGGTTAGTCACCCATGATCAGGAGCTTTGCCCTGCATGCATGAGCTCTTCTGGCCACTGCAGCCAGTGTGTCCAACCATCGCTCTATTGCTCTCATCATACTCTTGCCTTGGCCTCCTGCTGTTCTGTGGTGGGTTATACATCACTGCAATTACCACTTTGGGACCTCCAGAGTGAAGCGTTCCCGCTATGTAATTGCTTTCTTCTCCGCTGTGTGTGTGTGTGTGGTGTGTGTGTGTGTGTGTTGTGTGTGTGTGTGTGTGTGGTGTGTGTGTGTGTGTGTGGTGTGTTGTGTGTGTGTGTGTACTCGTGGTTTGGGTTGATTCTGCCTTAAAAATTACTATGAGAGGCCGATTCCTTTTCTTTGTGAACCACCTGATTCTCCGAAAATTTACCACCTGGGTCATGTCTCCCTTGCCTATCACCTTCATGATACCTTCAATCGCTTTTTTCTCTTCCTGCTTTCTTTCATCATAAGTTTCCCCTTTAGCTTCGTCTAGCCATAGACAAAAACTGATCTCTCCCTTTCCACCTCCCACTGTGACTCCCATTGCATCCTCTGAGGTGTTTTAGTTCCTTCCCGTGGAGTGTTCCTTCCTTCAGTCCCTTCCCTAGCTGTGGCCCCTATGCTCATTGGTTTGTCCTTCCTGCTCACCTGTTCCTGGCCCCCACAAGTGTCTGGTAAGGTCCCTGCACATGTCCTAGTTCCTTCAATGTCTTCCAACCTCTCATTCTGTCCTAGTGTGCTCCCTGTCTTTGTTTTGGCCCCATGTGGGTTTGACAGGACCTCTACATACAGTTTAGCTTCCATGCTCCCTTCAGACCTGTTGTCTGTGTCTGATGTACACACTGCTGGTGCTACTTCTGTAATATCTTTGTCTCTAGGCTGTTTCAGATGTCTCCGCTCCTCTTCTAATCTCTGTATCTTGGTTTCTGCTATTGTGGCATGTTTACCTGGAGTTTACCTGGAGAGAGTTCTGGGGGTCAACGCCCCCGCGGCCCGGTCTGTGACCAGGCCTCCTGGTGGATCAGAGCCTGATCAACCAGGCTGTTGCTGCTGGCTGCACGCAAACCAACGTACGAGCCACAGCCCGGCTTGTCAGGAACCGACTTTAGGTGCTTGTCCAGTGCCAGCTTGAAGACTGACAGGGGTCTGTTGGTAATCCCCCTTATGTATGCTGGGAGGCATTTGAACAGTCTTGGGCCCCTGACACTTATTGTATGGTCTCTTAACGTGCTAGTGACACCCCTGCTTTTCATTTGGGGGGATGTTGCATCGTCTGCCAAGTCTTTTGCTTTCGTAGTGAGTGATTTTCGTGTGCAAGTTCGGTAACTAGTCCTTCTAGGATTTTCCAGGTGTATATAATCATGTATCTCTCCCCGCCTGCATTCCAGGGAATACAGGTTCAGGAACCTCAAGCGCTCCCAGTAATTGAGGTGTTTTATCTCCGTTATGCGCGCCGTGAAGGTTCTCTGTACATTTTCTAGGTCAGCAATTTCACCTGCCTTGAAAGGTGCTGTTAGTGTGCAGCAATATTCCAGCCTAGATAGACAAGTGACCTGAAGAGTGTCATCATGGGCTTGGCCTCCTAGTTT